CGGCGGAGGCCCCTCAGCATCAGGGCGCTGAGCTCGCTGAGGGCGTTGTAGGGCAGCCACAGCTGCTCCAGGCGGCCCAGCGGCTTGAAGGCATCCCCGGGCACCCTGCGAATGGCCGTCCGCTCCAGGCGCAGTCTGGAGGTGTCCGGAGGGACAGACGCGGGAGGCAGGGTCATGTCAGGGTCGTTGCACACCACTGTCCTGGGCACAGAAATGGGGGTATTTGAGCAAAGGTCCTGTCCGGTCGCAGATTCCCCCTTCCCTGACCTCCTTTTCAGGAGTTTGCACGGGAAAACAGGACACCAAACCCAGGCTGTGGCGATCCCTGGAGAGGGGCTGGGAACAAGCAGCCTCCTGTTTTCTCTTTGGGGATTTCCTGCTTTCACAGCGTTTCCCAGGGGTCCCGGGGGGGCCACTTGGTTTCCCGTCACTGGCCTGACGGACCACAAACTTGAACTGCTATGTCCCATCACAGCCCGCACCACCTCCAGGGCACTAATAATGAGTAGTATTCATAAATCCTTGTGCATTTGACCATCTTGTGCATTGTCGCATTGCATCTATGTGGTAAAAGCGATCTTTTGTTAAATTATACCTGTCTTTGTAACCGCTTCGGCTTTTCTTTAAAAAAAAACAACAACATAGCAAGGGCATCAGAAACACACAGGAAGCCTCAAGCCTCTTCTGATTCTGAGAGACCGTGACATAAATGATCAAGGCGTTCAGAAGCCAGGACTTTGCAGTCCCACAGCCGGATTCACCTCTGGGCTCTTTGCTTGCTGGCTGTATATCCTTGAGTATATTATGTATATCTGGGGGACGTCCCAGGAAGGGGAGGAGGAGAGGATGAAACTGCTCTCAGGGCTGAGAAGGGGGGATGGGGAAGCAAAGAAGAGGATGAAGATGGAGGATCACTTGTTTGCGATGGAATGGGCACTCCTGGCCTTTCTGAGAACCCATAGAAAGGGGTCGAGGCTGAGGCTCCTGGGGGTAGGGCCAGAGGAAACCCGAAGTGGGAAGATCATGAGGAGGCAGGTGCTCCCATCACGGGCAGGGTGGTAAGAAATACCTGGGATGTGGTTGGGTACCCCCGGGAGGTGAGGCAAGAGGATGGAAGAGGCCTGGGAAAGAAGGGGCTCGGGAGATAGAGAATGGTGGAGGGCGGGGGCAGGAAGGAAGGAGAGGAAAAGAAAGAAGTAAAGGGGAGACTTTCTGTGCCCTTAAGGAGAGTACCTCTCACAGCATCCTGAAGGCAGGCTCAGAAGGATTTCCTGGAGCTGGGACATCCATGCCCAACCCCACCCCATGTATATAGATACCTGGTACCCCTACAGAGCCACGGCCTGCTGACTGGAGGAAAATGCATCTCAGACCAGCCCCCTAAGATCCTTGGGCCTTGAGGTCCAGAGAGATGGAGGTCTCATCTGGCCACCATCTGAAGGTCCTGCATCCAACCCCTTCCAGCCCAACTGGGCTACCCACCCCACACACCTGGTGCCATACCTGGCTTTGCTGCCATCGCCCAGGACGTGGAGGCTGCAGCTGCACTGAGAGGGGCAGGCGCCCCGGGCTGGGGGGAGCCCTCCGAGGGCCAGGAGCCAGAGCATGCCCACTGCCACCCTCATGGCCCCTGGCTCCTCCATAGCCCGGGCAGGGGCCTGTCCCTGACTGCTCTGTCCTGCCAGCCCAGCGAGCCCAGCAGCTGCGCACTGGCTCATCGGCTGCCCACACCCCCACCTGAAGCCACCGGATAAACACAGACAGGCTGGGGATTAGGGAGGGGAGCCCCGGCCACAGTGCTCAGCGGCTTACTGCTTCCTGGAATCACCCAGTCCTGAAGATGGGATTGGGAGGTCCTGTTGCATAGCAACAGCCCCAAACGCAGAGAACCCAGGGTACCGCAAGGTGGGGCAGTGGGCAGCTGCCCCGGGGCAAGCAGCTGCTAGACTAGCCAGCTGCAAAGCCACCCCATGCTGGCCAGGCTGCGGCTGCATGACCCCATGGGTGCTTGGGCTCAAAGGAGATGGAGACAGAACCCTGGTCTCTAATAAGGGCCACGGGAAATTCTCTCCAGGGACACTATCTCATAGGGAAAAATCAATGAGATGAAGGCAGTGAAGGCATTAGAAAGAGCCCAAGTTCCAGGCCAGGCCAGCTGGGTTCAAATCCTAGCTCTTCCACTTACAGCCTGTTACCTTGGATAAGCCACATGGTCTCTCTCAGCCTCTATGTTCTCATCCGTCAAGGGGAAGTAATGTTACTCTCTCAGGATGTTTATGAAAATTAAACCACCCAAGTTTCCCAGACTTTGACAGTCTGTGGGAACAGAAGCTTTCTGGGGAGTAGTAAAAACCCAGTTTTGCTGGTGTTTGCAATAACCTGGTCACAGAGAAGGTGGGAAGATTCAGAAATTTGGGGGTGACCTCATGGGCTCGTCAACTCTCCCAGCCTGCCACCCAGACAGCAGCTCCCTGAACACCCTGTGAGCCCCGAGTCTCAGATCACTGCCATCTGAGCTGAGCCACCAGTGCCAAAGGCATTGTTACCGACCCACATTCTTGAACCCTTGTATCAATAGAAATTGATTAGAGGCCAGGGGAGAAATTCAGTCTTTACTGGGACTCGTGCTGCAGCACAAGGGAGAAAAAACAAGTAACAGGTTCCCTTGGTCCTTTCCTGAGTCAGAGCGAGCTGGTCCCTTAAATGGGGTGAGGGTAGGGGCGGGTTGATGGGTCAGGCAGGAGGGCTGGCTTAGGTGGTCTGCCCACCCCCTGGTGGTGCTGTGTGCAGGGATCATGCCCAGTACCCTGCTTTTGCTCCAGACACCTCAAAAGTGGCAGTTGGGTTTTGGTCTTTTTGTATCTTGTTCTTCACAATTTGCCCCAACTGCAAATGTATGTAGTTACTTTTAGTCTCGTATAGTTTCTTTGTATTTTGTTGCTTGAGGAGACATTTGTCCAGGTGCAAGCATTGCAGCAAAGGCGCCCAGGTCCCAGGTCCCAGCCTGTGTCAGCATGAGGCGTCTCAGCCTGAGGGCAGAGTGCCCCTCTCCTCAAGCTGCCTCACTCCAAGGAGGGCCCCAGGGCAGGACCTCCCAGAGCTTTTAGAAAAGGCACGTCACTTTTCACCGATTGCCCCCATCCCCAACCTCATCCCACCATAGACAACACGCATTCATTTTTCACATTTGACCCCAAGGCTTTGCCCTCCAGCCCAGCAGACCCTGCCTGGCTTCTTTGGCTTTTCTAGTAGGTTCCTCAGTCCCTCATGCCCAAGGGCCGAGGCAGGCCTACACCAGTGAGGCATGATCACAGCGGGTACCTGGGGCCCCATTGTACACATCACATGCCTGTGTCAGGCCTGTTTCGACAATACTGGCTTCTAGGAAATATGGGTTCCCGTTCCTCCCTCTCTTCCTACTCAGCCAATATGATTTTCCCAGTGCTTTCCTCCTGCACCTCCTCCTCCCCAAACCAAAAGGCCAGCCCTGCCCATTCCCGCATCGCTGGCTCTTCCTCCTTCTGTTGGGCATGCCTCCGCGTCTCTTTCGCCTAGCTAAATTCTCCCTTTCATTCCCCGCCCTGTCCTTCTTTCTCTTCTCCCTTGAAGTCTTTTGTGATCTTGCAGGCATGAACAAAACCTGCCACATGTTTCCAGTTATGGTAATGCAAGATAGAAACTGGGAAGGGCAGGGAAGACTGTGGTAACTGGGTTATCACAGAAGGCTTCCAGGAGGACGCTGGCAGTCAGCTCAGCCCTGAGGTTAGGCTTGGACAGCAGTGGGGACCAACAAGAGGAAGGGCACGGTAAATGGATATTTAACAATAAAATGAGCTACTTGACCAGGAGTCTCAGGGGGTAGGAGATCGGATTTCTGTTCCAGCTCTATCCAGGAATCACTGCATGACCTCAGGTCAATTGTTAACTGCTTTGACCCCTCGGTTTCCTCCTGTGAAATGAAAAAGATGGTGGTATCAGTTCATGGAGTTGTTGTAAGAACCATCATGAGACCATTCAGCACAGTGCCAGCCCCTTAGCGAGCACTTAGCTAGATTGCTAATGTGCTCTGGGCCTTGGTTTCTTTATCGGAAAAATCTGGGAACTAGTTACATTGTTCTGGTCTTTCTTTCTCTCTCTTTCTCTCTTTTGGTTGGTGTTTCATGATGTAAATTTCACCATGAGCCAGTGGGTAACTTGGACCAGGACCTCATCTGTAGAAGCCAAAGGTCTTAGTGGGTCATGGGCCACTTAAAAAAAAGACAGCAGCCCCTCTGTCCCAAGTCAGGGCTTTGGGAGACGTTAATGCTTGTGTAGCTTAAGTGCTTGATGAAAGACAAGAAATGCAGCCCCAAAGGCTATATCCAGGATGTATTTTTCTGACCAAGGCTTATAAAGACCAGGGGAAAGGATGCTTACATTGAGAAGGAGGCAACTGAAATGACCCCAGGGGTCCCACCCCAGGGACGTAGCTGCAGAATCAGAACCAGTCTCTAGTCCCAGATGGAGTTCTTCCATGACAACAAGTGACTCCCCAACCATCATTCTTTCCCCACCATGTGAGCACGTGAACCGATCTACATACCTACACACGCAGGCACACGCGCGGTCAGCTTGCCAGCACTTATGAACATGGAAGGGCCGGGCCCCTGACCCTTTCTCAGGCACAGCTGCAGCTCAAATCCCTCCTTTTGCTCCCAACCCCTCCCTTGGTTATGCAATTCTTTTCTAATTCAGCTTTCCGCTATACACCATTTGGATTCCGGGTCGTTAATCCGATGGGGCTGAAATGAATGAGGCGGGACTCCGTGCAGGCTTCACAAAGGCTGCACTGTCTGACTGGTGAATGGGTTCCTTTAGCCTGGGCCAAGAGAACAGTTGGGGGGGTGGGGGTGCAGCAAAAAAGGAGCTCAAGGTCTAGCATAATAACCTGCATGTGCCAGCACGTGGAATGGCCCTTTTTAACGGAGGGGTCTGGCTTTGGGGAGCCAGAGAAGAGCTGGGTCCGCTGGGAGAAAGGCAGGAATGGCAGAGTCCAGGGCCCTGCCCACCGGTTTCGGGGAGCTGGAGGTGCTGGCCGTGGGGATGGTGCTGCTGGTGGAAGGTGAGCCAGGCAGGAGCCGGGGTGGAGCGGAAACTCCGCGGGCTCCCAGAACCCAGGTCGCAGCTGCGGAGTTGGCAAGGAGAGGTGCCCAAGCTCTACTCCTCTGTGCCTGACCCATGGGGTCTTCTGATGGATGTACCTGTGGGATGCAGCACACAGGCTCAGAGCCAAGAGGCAGAAAGCAGGCAAGGGTCAGGGAGGCAGAGACTTTGAGAGGGTGATATCTCCCCAGAACTTGACCAAGAAGCAAGCCTTTTCACATCCCTCCAGCTGGAGAAAGTTAAGCCCACTCCCTGAAAGTCCTGCGAAGTATCTCGTATAGGATCAGCCCCCTGGTAGGCTCTGGAGACAGACGGCTCTGCCACCTGCTGGCTATGTGACTGTAACCAAGTCACTTGAGCTCTCTGATCCTCCAAGCCCCCTGGTAAAGGTTAGACGGGACCAGGATAGATAGACACCCAGGGATTTAAGTTCATTTATTCCCTTCCTCTCCAGCCCCACCTGTGACCTCCACCATCTCCATCCCCTCGGCTATAAGCACTTCCACTCTAGGGGAGACCTGGGTCCATGAGGTGCGAGCTTCTACCCAGAATCCCTAAGATGCTCACTGAGGCCAGAGCTGGGATGGTAGACCCTGGAGCGGAGTGGGCCCAAGACTAGGTTGATAGGGAACATCGATCTTGTTCAAAGCAGATCTGGAGAAATAATCAACACATTTCCTTACCCAACGAGAACTGACAGTGGAGAGGGAGTGGCAGCCACTAGGCTGGCCTGGAGGACTTTGTGACGGCGTTGGCCTGGACACCACTGTCTGGTGACCCCAGCCCCTTTTCCTCTCCACGGGCAGCCCTACCATCTAGCGTCCCTCTAGGTCCTCAACCACGCCTTGAAAGTTTACAGCTTTATGTTTTTGCACATGCTGTTCCCTCTTTTGAGAATGCTCTTCCACACACTTTCCTCCTAGTAAACGCTTACATTTGGAAAGCAGGGTCCTTCCCCGTTCCTCCCTTTAGCTGAGAGAAGCCAAGGCTCAGAGAGCATAAGGGGCAGCAAGTGAGTGACGAAGCTGAAATTCAAGGTCGAGTCTGTCTGCCACCGGAGACAGCCTTCAAGTTCACCTCGCTGCCCCCTTGTCCTGGGAAGCTCCCAGCTCTGCACTGGCTCCTCCTCTCCAAGGCTCTCCCTGATGTTGTCCCATAGCCCCTGGAGAAGGCATTCTGGAACTTGAAAGATCTGAGTTCAAGTCCCAGCTCCACCACTTACTAGCTGTATACTCAGCGTTAGGGATCTAGCATCTCTGAGCCACAGTGTCTCGGCTGTAAATGCAGAGGAAAGCGTCCAGATGAAGACTGACCCAGAGGATTTGGCACGTGACAAGTGCTCGCAGCTGCTCATGTTATGAATGTTCTGCTGCCCTTTATTGGTTTTCTTCCTTGTCTGTCCTCCCATCAGATTGTGAGTTGGTGGAGGACAAGGTATACATCTCACGGCTTGTGGTATGGGAGGGCCAGCTCACCTCGTGGGTGCTTGACGAGCTGCAGTGAGATGGATGCTGAGTGTGAAGGGGGAGGGTGCTGAGGTTGCATCCACCCCGTGGCCCCTCATTCTGACCCCAGGTGCGCCTCTCCAGCCCCGATGCCAGCTCTACCCTTCCTTTCAGCTCTCTCCGGTCTCAGCCTCAATAGCCTGACCATCCTCTCTTTCTGCAAGACCCCGGAGCTGCGGACTCCCAACCACCTGCTGGTGCTGAGCCTGGCCCTGGCGGACAGCGGGATCAGCCTGAACGCCCTCGTTGCAGCCACGTCCAGCCTCCTCCGGTACCAGCACCCTCCCCAGTCCCTGGGCTCCGGGACCTGACCTGGGCACTGGGTGGCAGGCCAGAGGCCGCTATAGTAAACTGTAAGGGAGAGAGTGGGCAGGCTGAACTAGGTTAAATCTGAATTCCAGACTATTCCTGTAGAACCACAGCCGATTTCTAGAACACAGGAGATGCTCGGACCTGGGCAACAGAGCTGGCTGACGGTGGGGATTAAGAACATGAGCTCTGCCACCAGGCTGCCTAGCGTGGGATCCTGACTTTGTTATTTCTACCTCTCAGCTTCTTCATAAGTTGGATATTATGACCTAATTCCTCCGGTGGTTAGAAGCATTGATTTATCATTTGTAAATAAAACAATGCTCGGCCTCTAAGAAGCTTTAAGTAAGTGTTTGTGAAAGCAGTCAAGATTTGGAGAAGTGTCTAAGATCTCCTTCTGTGCAAGCCAGGCCCTCCCAACGTGTGTTTATGGAATTGTTTTCCTAAGCACAGGACGTTCCTGTGGAGACCGGAGTCCACCTGGGTGTGAATGCTCAGGGCTGAGCAGCCTGGAGGGTCTGAACCAGGGAGGGCTTCTTGCCCTGGTGGCCTCCTGCCCCTGCCCAAGGTGGGGGAGGCCCCAGTTTCCTCTTTGCAAAACCCTTTTCTGAGGATCTGAAGGTGTCTTCCAAGCTGCAGGCGTGGAGGAGGGCAGGGACGGGGTGGGGGTGGGGGGGGTCACTGGGGCCCCGTGTCTCCCACAGGCGCTGGCCCTACGGCTCAGAGGGCTGCCAGGCTCACGGCTTCCAGGGCTTTGTGACGGCGTTGGCCAGCATCTGCAGCAGCGCAGCCGTCGCCTGGGGGCGCTATCACCACTACTGCACCCGTGAGTCTTTGGGTTCCCACCGTGGAGGGACATCCACGTACTGAGGGTCTGCTCAGTATTTCCCAGTTCAGGGGAGTGTGTATGGGGGTAAGTGTGCATGAGTGTGGGGTGTGGACGCTCAGGAAGGGAGGGAGAGGGGGACAGTGCAAGAGAGGTGCTGAGACACTTGCTGGGAAGGCTGCCTGTGCCACTGCTGCTGCCTCAGGCAAGTCAGGGGTCCTCTCTGAACCTTAGTCTCGTCCTCTGGGAGATGATTTTTGTAACCAAAATCACAGTTTAATTTTGAAAATCAAATGAGATCATGGATACAGAAAATACCCTTGAAGACAGTCACCGTTGTGAGGCAGAGAGATATGTGTGTGAGTGTGTGTGTGTAACTGGGCGCGTGCCTTTGCACCTCACACTTCCACAGAGCCTTTGCCATGCAAGGGTTTAATGAAAATGAGTCTGGCTCTAGATTTTCCAAGCTGTATTGTCAAATCCCATCTTCATAATTAGCTATATCAGTGTACCACCTGCGCTGTTATCTACCTGACTTTTTTTTAAAGTGACTCATTTTTAAAAATTTAAATACCTCGCTTTAGTCTTATTCTAAAAAAATTTGTGAAATCACAACTTTAATGTCCCTATAATTTTAATACACATTAAAATAAAAAACATGTTTACCTGTAGACCACCTAGAATGCCACTCTCCACAGAGATGTGTAAACCTGCTCCGGGGGCCCGTGGCTCAGTCACCACTCACAGCAAATGCTCAGTCTGCAGACTGGGAAGCAGAGGCTCAGAGAAGTTAAGTAGCTTGTCCCAGGTCACACAGCTATTGGGGTAGGGCTGGGATTGGGCATGGCCTGGGTGCCTCCACAGGGAGTCTCTCCTTTTGTCTCCTGGGCTCTGAGTCTCGAACTGTGGACCTACCTAGCACGGAGGCGACTCTGGGGTCCAGGGCTAGCATGGCCTCAAGCCCTGAGCATCACTCCTTTGGAATCACAGATCTGTCCTTGCCGCAGACACACACAGCCCCCTGCCCTCAACAAAGTCACATACTTCCTTCCAGGGCAACAACAACAACAACAAAAAAATGCCTTCATTCTTATCCTAACTCCTATCGGGCAGGTTAGCCCCTCCCACCCCACCTGACCTTGGACCTCCTCTTCCACCTCTGCCCCAGCCCTGTCCCCAAATCTCCCTTGCACCATCACACATGCATGTGCACGCACGCACACGCGCACACACACACTCTCACATGTGCACACATGAATGCACACCTCCTTAGAAAACAGAAGGCTCTTTGCCTTAGTATAGAGCAGTTAATCCCTGTCCCAGGGGCCTCCAGATCAGAGCCCTTCTGTGCTGGAGGGCACAGAGGGGCAACAGGAAAAGAGGGAAAGGGGAACAGGGTGTGAGCTCATGTCCATTAGTGGGTGACCTTGGGCATGCCACCTTAGTCATCAGTTTCCAAAGCTGCAAAGACAACACATTGGTCAAGGTGGATATTCACTATTTTGCCCATGGCTGGGGGAGCAGGCGGTTGCTGTCTGCTCAGGCTGCAGAAACAAAATACCCTAGCCTGGGCAGCGTACACAACAGAAATGGATCTCTCACGGTGCTGGAGGCTGGAAGCCTGAGATCAGGGTGCCCGCACGGCTGGGCTCTGAGGAGGGCTCTCTTCCTGACTTGCGGATGTGTGCTCCCGTGGAGGAGAGTGAGATCATCTCTCTGAGTCTCTTCTTATGAGGGCACTAATCCCACCGTGGCAACTCCACCCTCATGACCTAATTACCTCCCCAAGGCCCCACCCCCGAATACCATGACTCCGGGATTAGGACTTCAACATATAAACGGGGGTGGGGGGGACATAAACATTCAATCATAGCAGGGGGACACATCCAAGCAAATTCCATCTGCCCTGGGGTCTTGTCTACAAAGGAGCAGGACCAGAAAACCCCCAGACAGAGGAGGCACCTGGGAAAGGCACTGTGAAGCACTGGATGAGAAGGGCTGGATGAGGCTGTGAAGGGCATAGGTGGAAAGATCGTGGAGGAGGTCGGGTCAGTGGGACTGGTCACACCAAAAGATGCTGTTGGGACCCAGCTTCTGCCGTTGGCACTGAGATGGGGCCCCAACCCCAAAGTCGAGTTCTCAGAGGGTATCTTGGAAACAGAGACAGTGACCTGCTTCCGAGCAAGAGCTGGAGATGGTGGTAAGTCCCAAATTCTGCCCCCATCCCCCATCCTCAGTGTTCTGAACACTCATCACCTGGACCACTGTCTATATTTCTTCCCCAGTTTGGCTTTGAGAAGCACACCTGTCTCTTCTAAACGTGGTATAGAGTGTCTCTAGGAGACCTTCACCATCCATCATCTCTTTTTTTCTTCATCGCAGTTGTCTGAGGCAGGGATTATCATTTCCATTTTGTGAAGGAGAACATTGAGGCTCAGAGAAACTCCTAACTTGCCTGAGGCATTGCAGTATTAAGCATCAGAGCTGGGATTTAGGGACATTCTGTGTGACCAGGGAGTCCATTTTTTCCCTACTCTGCCGAGATACCCCCTCCTCTCAATCAGCCTCCTCCCGTGTCCCATGCAGGCAGCCGACTGGACTGGAACACAGCCGTCTCCCTGGTGTTCTTTGTGTGGCTGTCTTCCACCTGCTGGGCAGCACTGCCCCTCCTGGGCTGGGGCCACTATGACTACGAGCCGCTGGGGACGTGCTGCACCCTGGACTATTCCAAGGGGGACAGGTGAGGTGGGGAGAGCAGCTTTGAGGCTCCCTTCCGACGGGAATCTTGGCTTTGAGCCTGTAGGACAACAATGTCAGCTGAAAATCCAAATAGGGACATGTCCACATTTGCCCGTCTCAACTCCTCGGTCATGGTGCCCCCATGCAAGCTGACAGTGGGACTGAGGACAGCCTATTCTGGAGACTAGCCAAGTGATGGGAATGTTATGTAAACTGGGGTGCAGAGTTGGGCCCAAGAAGGGGTACTATTCAGGGAGCCACTGGCCTGTGTCAGTTGTAACAGTGGCTGAGCCCCATGACCCTCTGTCATCTTCAGCACAGTCGGCTGTCCCATCTCTGACTCATCACCTTCTACAAGGAGCCGTATCCTTGGCTGGATAGATTCAGAGAACGTTAAGGTCTTTGCATTGGGTGGACCCTCCTTGGTGTAGAGCTCAGTCCTCTGAACTCCCTGAGTGTCTACTATGATCCAGTCCCTGGACCAAACGCTGGAGAAACCAGAGTAAATGCATGATGGCCCCGCCCAGCGTGGAGCACGTGTCCGGCTCCGAGGGGAGTTCTGCTGGGACCCGGGAGGACCCACATTCTGAACACTCATCTGATGGGGCCAGTTCCCCGAATCTGACTGTCTAGAGCTAAGGCTGGTGGGCTTTCTGGGGCAGCTGATCACCTCTAAGAGGCCATCTCTCCTCGTCTCTCCCGTCTGCAGAAATTTCACCAGCTTCCTCTTCACCATGGCCTTTTTCAACTTCCTCCTGCCCATCTTCATCACAGTCATATCCTATCGGCTCATGGAACAGAAACTCGGGAAGGCTGGCCGTCCCCCGGTAAGGACCGACTCCTAGAGCAGGAGAAATCTCTTTGTCCCTCTCAGGGACACCAGGGAAAGTGAATGATGTGACAGCAATCAGGGGATTTTCTGTGTTTTCAATGATGAGAAAAAATGCAGCTTTCATAAGGTGGAGACGGGGTGTTAGGGCAGGAACACTCCCTCCCGTTGCTGGGGATCGCCCAGATCTGGGAGGAAGGATCAGAACTGCTCAGACTTAAAATAATTAGAAATAGCAGAGTTGGATCAAACCCAGGACTGGGACTCCAACCACCCACGTGGGCAATCATAGTGCATAAAAGAAATACTCTCTCTGTTGAGACACCTAATCTGCCACATTTTTTCCAATGAATTGGAAAAGTGCTGTGCAAATCGATTTTAGCTGGAGACCCAGGTTCCCTTCAGTCACAGAACGAGGGCGGGGGCTGTGCTGGGACCAGAATCTCATCTCGCGTCCCCCGGGTTCCGGCTCGGTGCTTTGCAGCTCATCGCCACTGCCTTGTCGGTGGTGCTCCGCGCAGGGCCCGCCCCAAGCGCTGCCTGGGTGTTCAGAGTCGCCACACCTATTGGAGGTTCAAGCAACCAAGAGACAAGGCTGTCGCACGGATTTTCTCATTTTTCCCGGTTGACTTTAAACCATCCGTTCCAGTAGCATCAGCAGAGGTCGCCACGCATTGTCGCAGGGACTTCAGCTGCGAGCTTAAGTCATCATCTTTGTTACAGGGCGACATGGTGAATAAGAAAATAGTCACTGATTTTTAGCGTCAGAATTTTAACATCTGAGTGTGTGTGGGGAGCGGGAACCTAGCTAGCAATTTCCATCCTGAAATTAGAGCGCAAGCAGTGCGCCCTCCTGTGGCCACAGGTGGTACCACATCGCCTGCTGCCTGCTTTTATCTCACAAGGTGGGAAGTGGCCCCTTGGAACACAGGACAGGTTGACAGGCCAGTGGCTGCAGCTGCTGATGGCAAGCTGGTTCTGGGACGGAGCTGTGAGGGCAGCTCAGCCAGGGGACACACTCAGACACACTTACGGAGCCCCAGAGCTCAGACCAGGAAGGAAGCTCATTATCCACCCCAGTCCCTGCCTCCAGGCAAGTCAGGCATTATCAGACCACTTTACAGGCAAGGCAAATGAGGTCAAGTCAGCTAGAATGAGAGGCCTAGGGTCACACATTTTAAACAGAAGAGAGACTCTTCTGGCCCCAGGTTCCTCAGCATCTTCCCACAGCCCCGCAGGGTGCCGACTTTGTCCCCAGGCCTCGTGGGGCTGCCAGCCACCCAGAGCATGTCGACACCTCCCTCCTGCACCCGTGTTTCCCCAGGTGAACACCGTTCTGCCGGCCAGGACGCTGCTGCTCTGCTGGGGCCCCTACGCCCTCCTGTACCTGTACGCAGCCATCGCGGACGTGACCTCCATCCCCCTCAAGCTGCAGATGGTACCCAAAGCTGAGTCTACTCCATCTTTGTGTCTCCGTTTCGCTCATCCTTTTTTCCTGGCTTTATGGCCTCCCCGGTAGCTTCTCTCTTTCTCTTGTCCTTTGAATGCTCATAACGCACTGGGTATTTGCTTGCTCCTCTGGCCACACAGCGCCACTGTCTAGGCCTCACGTGAGATGGCAAGGACAGCCAGCCAGATGGTGACACGTACACTCTGGGGCCAGGGGCTGAGACCGGTGCCTGGGGAGGAGTGTGGCTCCACGTGTCACTTGCCAGCTAGTCAGAGAAGGCTTAGAGGCTGCGGAATCAAGCCAAGGACAGATGCTTGGCGGCTGGGGGGATGTCAGGGTGGGGGTCGGGGGCTGTGACACCAGTTGGGACCAGAGAGAGGAGAGGAGGCTCTGAACTTCTCTCCTGGACTCTTCTGTCACAACAGGTGCCTGCTCTCATCGCCAAAACAGTGCCCACGGTCAACGCCATCAACTACGCCCTGGGCAGTGAGATGGTGCACAGGGGAATCTGGCAGTGCCTCTCGCCACAGAGGAGAGAGCGGGACCGAGAGCAGTGAGCCTCTCCGGGGGGCTTGCTCAGACCCAGGCCTACCCCGGCCACCCTGGGCTGAGCCCCACGCGGGACGCTGCCCCCGGGATCCTGCCAGCCAGGCTCCAGACACTCATCCACCATCCCGGATGGCTCGTTGAGCCTGGCCCCGGGCCGGACACAGGGGATTCAGAGAGAAACCAGGCTGCGTGGAAGGAGCTGGGGCTTCAGAGCCAGACAGCGCTGTGTGCTGGTCACAGCCCTCCACACAGAGGCTGAGAGATCTTGGGAAAGCCACGCTCTCTGAACTGAGCTTCCTGACCCCTAGCATAAGGATAGTAACACAGACCCCGGGTCTGCTGTGAGGCTGGAACATGCTAACATGTACGCACCACACACATAGACGTTGCTCATTAAAAACAGCTGTTAGGACCCAGAGTCTTACATAGAAAGGGCTGAAAGGCCCGGCTTTACTTGTGGAGGCTCAACCTAGGCGGACAGTGTTCAGACAGCCACCTATTAAATCATGGTCTCTTGCAAGTGACTTACTCTTCCTGGGTGTTTGTTTGCCTACCGGTGAGGTGTGACGACAGTAGCAGTGACCTGACCATGCAGAAAGGACCAGAGTGTTACCCGGTGCACAGCTCCCTGAGAGCTGCCACCAGCACTCTCTGGTCAAACACAGCTAGCCACTCGTTCGTTGCTTAGCTGCCAACATCGAAAAATCAGGACAATCTATTTAAAACTCCAGACACCTGAAGATGAGGCCCCATCCCCACCAGCCGGAGGAGTTTCCAGGATTGGCTCAGGGTGGCTCTGCCCTCTGCCTGGGGCACATGATCTCCCATCAGCGGCAGCTCGTGTGTTCCACTCAAAGCCTGTGGGCATCTGAGTTTGAGACGCCAACACGGGGGTTCCCATCCCTGGACGTCCATCTGCATCTCCAGAGTCAGCGCTTCAGGGACAAGGTGTGGCAGGTGCACAGACGTGGGTGGGCCTGTTGCCCTAAAGGGAAGTGGAGATGGTTGCAGGGTGATCAAGGGCACTACAGAAGGTCTGAGGATGAACACGGACAGCTGCTCCCAGCCCCGCGGAGGCAGGGAGCCTGAAAGCCAATCCCTTGGAGCTGAGGGGAGGAGGCGCCAAGCCCTACGGGCTGGGGAGGGTGTCGGGAGGGGGGTGGCCATGAAACAGCATCTGGGTCCCTGCAGACCAGGACCTGGCTCTCAGCCTTGCAATGCAGGGAATCAGACCACATAAATATGACTCACAAGGAGTCCACACAGTCAGAGGCGGGGCAGTCATTTCGCAAAACCGGGTGAGGTGGGGAGGGGAGGGGAGGCAGCCTTCGCACAACACTGTTTCCTAGACCACGATGCCAGGTGTTGTGGAGACGAGACGCCACTTGGCCTCACTCCAGCGCCCGTACAGGGCCCTTGGCTTAGGCCCTGGAGTGGGGGCCGGGAGGGGAAATCCAGGGCCTGAGCCAGGCTCACACGCAGACTGAGTGGGTGGCCAGGAAGGCGAGGGGGACCGGGGCCCAGAGATTCTGACTCTGCCCCCATGGCCCAGGGATCTTTAAATTGTCTTCATTGGGGACCTGCCCTTCACATCACCGTCAGAGACACTAAGTCCCTGAGGAGGTACAAGGGAACACAGTGAGAAGAGAGGGGAGATGACCCCCCAGACCCCGAGACAGAGAAGGGCTGGAAGGTGAGAGGAGGCTGAAGAAGCCCAGCCAGTGTCCCCGGACGGATCACGCCCCAACCTGTGCTCAGAGGAGAGGAGGGGAGGCAGGCAGGCTGGCTGGGCAGGGTGGAGGATGGCGTTAACACAAGCCCTGCATCCCCAGGTCCACCTGGAGCAGGGAGGGTCGGCTCCAGCCTGGGCTGGGTCAGCAGGAGATGAGAGGGGCTGACAGCCCCCACCACCCTGGGGGAACGACCAGCGCCCCGCCTGAAGCTGTTTGTTCAGAAGCCCCAAGTCTACCCACACTCCCGCATCTCACTCATGGAACGGGTTTAGGGAGCCTCATCACCTTTAGGTTTTTCTGCCTTTCGGGACCTTGAGTCCCCTGTGGACACTGTGTGCAGGGCCCCTCCCCTTCCTCCTTCCAACCAACCCTCCAGCACGCCATCCCGCCCTTCCAGGGAGCAGCTCAGCCTCCTCCCTGGGACGGTTTTCCTGGGAAGAGGAGGGGCTATGTGCCTGTTTGATTAGCAAAAAAGAAAATATAAATTAATAACAAGTTCATACTGTACAGCACAGGGAACTATATCCAATAACTTGTAGTAACGAATGGTGAAAAAGAATATGAAAATGAATCTATGTATGTTCACGTATGGCTGAAGCATTGTGCTGTACACCAGAAATTGACAACTGTAAACTGACCATACTTCAATAAAAATATATATATATATATTAAAAAAAAAGAAAATATAAATTAATTATGACCTAAACTGTGTCTATATTTTCTCTCAAAAGTAAGGGGATTTTGTGAGTTTTCCAGATTGGGAAATAAATTCAACAGCGAAGCAGTATGCCTCGTTTATTTCTATCTTTCCCCTTACCACGAAATTGGAAGAATTTCTGCCATTTTCCCTGTTAGAGACACTCTTAGTTCAATTTACTCAAATACAAGTTTACTCTCCCTCCCACCAAACTGCCTCTTGGATTATTTTTCCCATTCCAGTAAATATCATTACTATCTGTACTGTCATATAAGCTAAATGAAGAGAAATAGAGGCGGGGAAGCAGCAATGATCTGATGATGAGCGTAAATCCTTACCTGGCAGATAAGGATGGCGCAGTGCCTAGCTTCTACCACAAGGTGGCAGTGCTAACTCAATGATTCATTTATCCTGCGCGTCCAGCCCTGGGGCGGAGTCGAGGGGGCGTCGCTTTCTGAAGAGCCTGGGGGTTCCCCGACAGATCCCTGCAGGATCCTCAACAAGCTTTCTTTTCTACTGTTGCTACAGTAGCCTGACATCTATCTAGTTGTTTTCTACTTCACATCAGGATGTGATTTCCACATCTCTCCCGGAACGGAACAGAATTGCACGCCCCTTGTCCTGAGGACTCCCCGATGGCCCTGTAGGGACCCCCTTTTCTCTGCCGACAGAACAGCCATTGAAAGTCCAGCCAGATGTAAACCTTCAAAGTCTTCCCATGCATAGGAGTTGGTTAGGAATTCTGGTCTGGCTTTTGCCTCTGTCTAATCGTGAGAAGTTGGGACAGTCCCTGAATTTTTCTGACTTGGATTGTTCACCTGCAAAGTGGAGGTGCCATGCTGATCTTACCTGTGGAAACACACTGTAAACTGTGATGTGCAGGACAGGAGGGCATTTCAAGTCCTATGGCTGGAGAAGCAGCCCGAGCCTCTGCAGAGGTGCAGTAAATGGCATTTAGTGATGGTAACATTTCTAAGGGAAGGAGTCCGGGAAAAGCCCTGGGTGAAGGCGAAGATCACAGCCCTTCAATCTTCCCGCTCCTCTCTGTTGAGGTAACTTGTTGCTCCCTTCTTAAGCTGTTCCCTGGCCCTGACCCCCCACACCTGTTCCTCCCTCCCTCTGTCTGTCCCTGCAGCTGCTCCTACAATAGCCTCCATTGTCTCCCTGCAAGGCGTCCTCCGCCCAGCTGCCCTTCCCTCTGCAGCTGCCAAAACACATGCAAGTCCTTGGCTTGTCTAGGTGAGAGGCAGCGTGGCAGCTTGGAAGGCACTTAGGTGTGAGTATTGGAACGACCTGGGCGTGAGTCCAGGACTGGCCTTTTATTCAATGTGTGACCAAGTTTGAGCAAGTTTATTACCTCTGAATTTGTGCCACTCCCACCAAAATTGCCTCATTGGGGTGGCATATTTTAAAGCACATAGTGCATGATGGGTGTTCAATAAATATTAGATTTGCTCCATGGGAACCTCATAGACTATTCCTTGCTGTCCCCTGATTTTTATTATCACTCACTCAAGAAAGGGGTGTACAGGAGAATTATGATGATTAAGTGACAAATACATGCAATATGTGTCACATCTGTGACCTTATTTAATTCTACACAACATCCTCAAAGGCATATTCTCAAACTTGTCTGCACCTTTGAATTATTTTGGGGTCTGATGAATCAAAGTAGTCCCTCGATCAGAAGCATCTGGGTGCTTGTTAGAAATGCAGAGCCCCAGGCCCCACCCCAGAGCTCTTGAATCCAAATGTGCTTTTTAAATGACCCTCCGCCAAGGCCATCTGTGCGCATCTTAAAGCTTGAGAAGCACGGTGAAGCTTTATGGATTACGATGTCTGGGTCCCTCCCAGAGACTCTGATGTGATCGGTCTGAAGGGCTGCCTGGGTTTGGGGCTTTTAAAGGCTCTTAGATGATTCCATTCTGAGGCCAGGAATAAGAACCATAGATTGGGGGTAAGGGCTGGGGGTTACGGATACTCATTTTATTGTTACAGCAATGTTATAGCAACCTGGATCCCATCAAGAAACCAAGCGACACTCGGAGGGTTGGAGAACTCAGGTTTATCATGCTGGCGGGCCCAGAGGAGTTAACACTCCAAGCTCTGGATCCCGTCTGTAGGTTTACACAGGATTTTATAGAGTTTTAGGTTTCAATTAAGTTTGTGCCATATGCAAATAAGATGTTAGAAATGGACCAATCAGGAGCGAGCTTTGGGGAACCAGTGGAATTTTAGGGGTAAGTTTCATTTTCCTAGAAGCAGGCCCTTTGACAGAAGCACAAAAGCGAGATAATGCCACCGGGCCAGGGAACCAGATGGCGCTGGCGGGAAAGTAATGGCTCGGCCTGGGGGTCCTGCTGGTCTTTCCATGGGGCTTTCCACCTCATTATGAAGAGTGATTTAGCTGAGATTTACTCTGAGTCATCTCTGAGACCATTCTTTGCTGAATATATTATACATGAGGATATATTATATATGGATATATTATACACACACATATATGCATATATATCTCTCTCTAGAAGTCTATTTCTTTGTTACAAACACCTACCTTGTCCTATGGCTTGCTCTCATCTATGTCTTATTAGTTCCCCCCAAATCCCAAAGACCAGAGACCCGACCGTAGAGTCTCAGCCTAAGGCTTTCTGTTTTATCACCGTGATATCCTCAACAAGATAATAGGGTCAGGTCTTGTAACTGATGGAAAGACAAAGGCATGAAGATGCTGAAGATTCTCCTTAAGGCCACACAGTGCT